ATTTCTTCTTTAAAGAGCTGATAGAATTCAGCTGAGGATCCATCTGGTCCTGGGTTTTTCTTTTTTGGAAAAAGAATTATTACTGCTTCTATGTTAGTGCTACTTGTTGGTCTGTCTAGGTTTTCTGTTCTCTTAATTCCATTTTAACAGTCATATGTGTTTATATGTATCTATTTCTACTAGGTTTTCCAATTTGTTAGACTACAAGTTTTCAAAATAGTCCTCAATGATCTTTTAGATTTGTGTGATGTCTGTGGTGATTTTTTCGTTTTCATCTCTAATTTTATTAACTTGAGCTCTTAGCAGTAGAAGAAAGGAGAAAAAGAGAAATAGAAGTCAAGCCAAACAAAAATATACAAACCCAAACCTGTAACCCTCCAGACAAGGAAGAAAATAATAACTTTTGTAAAAAAAGAAAAGCTAAAAATGAAAAAAGAAACATATATGTTTATATGTATTTATAAACCAGTTAGCACAGCAAGAACACACACACATACACACCAAAAAGAAAAGAAAAGGAAAAAAATGATTATTAATGAAAAATTAAGGAATAGTCTCCACAGAGATGGTCAAAAACAGTCAGTGAGAATAGATGGTTATTATCTGTGCCCAACTGTGTTTTCCATTTCTTGGGCTACAGAGAGAGAGAGAGAGAGAGAGAGAGAGAGAGAGAGAGAGAGAGCGCACACACACACACACACACACACAAGGGCTGGTGGTTGTTAACCTCTTCTTCTGTTTGTGTTGCTCACTAAGCTGCCAGCTGGAATAGCCCCCAAACTGAAGCTGGTTGAAATAATTATCAGGTTCTCTCTTACCAGTATAAAGTAGCATGGAACGGGAAATACTGTGGATTGAAGTTTTGTCTGCATGGATGAGATAGATGTACTCCCTTCGTGGGGTTGTTGCAGAATTCTATGAGGGGAGTTCTGGAGCCTGGGGCTTAGATCTAATCTGGCTTTAGGGACTTTGTTGGGTGGTATTTGCTCTGGAGAGATTATAGCAACACATTTCTAGGGACAGGTAGGTTCTGATCTTTGCTGGGAGTGTGGATCTAAGGGATGTCCCAAGAATTCTCCTTGAGGGGCAGGTGAGTCAATCTTTCACAAGCTCTGCTGTTGATGCATGCAGCCTCCCCAGACTTTGTCCCTCAGTGGATTCACACTTACCTCCTTATTTTTCCTACCCTTTTTGGGTGATCATGTGAACTGCCAAACTTTAGAGAGAAAACAAGTTATTCTTTTCTCTTACTTGAATCCGACTGGGTTCTCTGTGCCTGTTTCACTCATGTTTTCCTGGGTATACCCTAGGCCACATGGTATGCACTTGCTGGGAGACTATGGCAATGTTTGCTATGACCTCCCAGGTTTTCTGCAGTAGTAGTCTAGAGTGTGGCTTCCTCAAGATGGCTCCTGCTGTTGTGGGATAGATGAGGCTGGACATTGAGGAATTAGCAGAAAGCAGGTTTATTGGCTGCAGCCAGGTCCAGAGGGGAAAAAGGCTTTTGCTACAGTCAATCAGTCTCCCTGAACTCCGAGTTCAGAAAGTTTCAGAACTTTATATCCAGTGTACAGGGTGAAGGCCTCAGAGTCTCACAATCTACAGTTGTTTACTCCAAAGCAGCTTTTTTCCACTGTTTAGGGTATTGAACCCAGCCTGGAAACAAGAATGCAAATGCCTCTGTGGAAGCCTTGGGTTAGTCTTTCTTATCATGTCCTGCTTCAGCAATACACTTCCCACCTGAAAACTCTATTGCAGAAATTCTTGCTGATAGTCTAAGAACAACAGTTATGGTGAGGGTCTCTGGAGAAGCTTAATTAGGATTTTCTGGGGAGAAAGGGATGCCACTATACTTTCTTATCTGTTTGCTTGCCATTTGAGAAATAGAGAGGGCTTTTCAAACATCTGCTTGCTATACAGCCCCTGAATCAGCTAAATTTTGGCTATTTTTCTGATCTACAGATTTTTCTGTACCAAATCTGTTCATTGTATTTCTCTCTCTGTGTTCTCTCTTCCCTCTGTGGTGAATGAGTACCACTGCTGCTGTCTCAGCTGCTATTGCAATGACTTAGCTCCAGAAACTCTTCTTTAGTGTTCACTCAGTGCACCTGAATTTCTGAGTCTCTAAGGCACTCTGTCCAATATTGAATTTTAGTGAAATTCCTCTTTCATCCACTTTTCTGAGAAGCAGTAGTCCTGTTGCTTGAATTTGAAGCCACAGAACAACTGAAAATGCAGCCTTCCTCTAATCCACCATCTTGAATCTATAAATGCAGCAGTTTGTATTCATATCTTCACCTTCATTTTGAAGATTTCATCCCAAGGTTCAAGGTTACCAAGATAATTTTGAATTTTGAGTCTTTCATCTATGATATTAACTCTTCCTTCAGATATATGACCATGTACATCTTTGATAAATATCCTTGCTTTGTGTTTATGTAGTCTTTGATACAATTTCAAACAGGTAAGGTTGAATAAAGAATTTATACAGTATATCTGTTTTCTTTCCAAATGTTTTTGAAAGGTACTTTTCTTAGATCTAGAACATATCTTTGACCATTTTAGTAATTTTCTTTTCTTAATATTAATGGTATGATAATATTGGCACTTTATTCAAGATTCTGGTTGGAATGATGGTGAGATCAGTTACAATTGTTGCTTCCTATGTGCTCTGAGCAATACATTTATTAGATGGGAAATAGAGTTTAGATTTCTATCAGAAGATACAAGGATAATTGATATTCTTCTTCACCCTTTATGATTTAGTGTAATTTTTGTACCTTTTCTAAGAAACATCATATACATTTCTTTCCAGATAGTCTGATATACTTTTATAATAATATAATTCAGCTTTTCTTTTTAGTTCATCACTTTTGTTGTTTAATATGATTCCAATATTAAGCTCATGAACTATTAAAAAGGAGTAATTTCTTTTTTCCAATTTTTATTGTTATATTATAATCATGTACAATAGTGAGATTTATTATTTCATATTAAAAAATGTACATAACATAGTTAAGCAATTTTATTCCTTAATGCCTTCCCTTTCCCTCTCCTCTATCCTCCCCCATCTGCTTGCTCTACTCTACCAATCTCCTATTGTTGTTATTTTAATTTGTGTATTATAATCATATATATGTATGGTATGTTCATACATAGATATAGCATAATTTGGTAGATTTCATTCCCCTGTACTTCTCCATGCCCTCTCCTCTTCCCTCCCTCTTGTTCCCCTTCCTCTACTCCATTGGTCCTCAGAAAGGAGTTACTTCTAAAAGAGCACTGGACTTCTAAAATTCCCATATTTGGTTATTGACCAGGCTGTGTGGATTTGAACAAGTTACTTAAGGTTTATGGATCTGTTTCCTCATATATAAAATAGGTATATTATTATTATTATTTATTGTTCAGGATTACAAAAACAGGTTAGGATTTACAAAGCAGGTAATTGACAATTAGTGGCTTATGTGAATAGTGTTTGTCTCATATAAAAAGAAATCAAGAGATGGACAGTCTATTTAATATAGAGATTAGAGAATTTAGGCTCTTTTTAATGTATATATTTTTAGTTGTATATGGACACAATGCTTTTACTTTATTTATTTATTTTTATGTGGTGTTGAGGGTCAAACCCAGTGTCTCACAAGTGCTAGACAAGAGCTCTACCACTTAGCTACAACTCTAGCCTCAACTGTAGGCTCTTTTAATTTTCCTGTTCAACATCTATTTTAGTCAGCTTTTTTTTGAGTTTCTGGGGCCAATGAACCTGATGAAAACAATTTTAAGGAGAGAAAGTTTATTTTGAAACTTATGGTTTTAGAGATTTCAGTTCAAAGACAGATGGCTCCATTCCATGGGTCTTGAGTTGAGGCATCATGGCAGAAGAGTGTGGTAGAGGAAAGTGGCTCAGGATATGATCAGGAAACAGAAAGAAGGTCTGCCCAACAAAGATAACATATATACCTCTAAGGCATGCCTCCAGGACTACCTCCTCCAACCACCCTACCTGCTTATTGATTCCACTATCCCTATTAGGGGATTAATTCACTGATAGGGTTAAGGCTCTCATAACCCAATCATTTCAACTCTAAACTTTCTTGCATTGTCTTACACATGAGCTTTTGGGGGACACCTCACATATAAACCATAAAAACATCCTTAGCATGTAGTTTTTTGGGTTCTAGCTTCTTGAATCATGGGCACAAAATGCCTAGTAAAACCCTGGTCCTTATGTCTATGTTTCATGTATAAAGAATAGGAAGAACTAAAAAACTAAAAGACTTTTCTCTTAGTGAGGCTCTGACTCTTAATTTGGCAAGGGGGGTTCCTCTTTAAGATGTATTTCTGTAACTCACTGGCCAGAACTATGTAGCATAGGCACACTTTATTTCAAGGAAAACTAGGAAATTGTACACTGTACTTTTCAGTGTCTAGACTAGAAGAAGGCAAGGAAGAAGGGATTGTGTTTACAGTTTGGGTCAGCAATGTCTGTCACTTTCATAATATTTTGATGATGAATATGATGAGACAATCTAATTAAAAAGTTTTATAAAGGTATAATCTAAATACACTATTCCTTTTGCCTTCTGTTGAGAGGAAATGACCTTCATAGTCACTAGTATTCAAAGTTGTATTATTATTCTCCATGAAAAAAAGGGGAAATGATATTAAGAAAAGGGCCCTGGAGATAAAAAAGTCTTGGAGGTGAGCTAAGAAGGAGAATGTCTGAGTAGACTCTTTAATGAGGTCAGAGAGAGCTAAGAAACAGAAATCTCCAAAGAATTTGTAAATAACCAGAGGAACTTTGAGTATGTGTCATGGAGTTGAAAATCCTGCAGGGTTAATACTTCTGCATTTCTTTAGTTTGATGAAAACTCTTGTAGCTTACAAATTGTGTTATTTGGGGTAAAATAAACCTTTGATGTATATATATATATATATATATTTGTTTTATTTTAGATTTTGCTTTTGTTGCCAGTCTTCTTTCTTTCTTTTTGTAGACATTGTTCGAAGTGATGTTGCTTTGGATAAACAGAAAGGCTGCAAAATTGCTCAGCACCCTGATATTATGCTGGAGCTTCAAAGAGAGAAGGCAGCTCAGATGCATCTGGTTCTTCTAAAGGAGCAATTCTCCAATACTTACAGTAATCTCATATTAACAGGTAAGGCAACTGGAATCAGCTAGAATCTTAGAGCATTATATATTGATGATCTTCATCAGTTAGCAAGTTGATGCTTGGGGATACTAGTGTGGGATTCAGATGAGCCTACATCTGTCTCCACCCACTATATCACATTTTTAATTGTGGTGATTCTTGTCTTTCTAAAACAAATAGTTCTTATAGTTTTCAGATGTATTTTGGCTTGAAGTTATGGACGATTCAGCATGTGTTTTCTCAAAAGACAGAACCAATGACAACCTTGAAGACTTATAAAAATATGACTTTCTAGATGTGTGCCAGTAGATTTGAGAAAATTACTAAATTTGGTATCTTATAAGAAGCAGTTATTTTCCTCTTTCTGTGCATGCCCTTTGTATGAACCCAGTGAATATAAAGATGAAATGTTAAAGAGATAATAATCTTTAGGCAGAGCTGGGAATGTTCTATTCCTGATGGTGTTTGAAAATATTTGGGGAATTTGATTTTTTTTTAACGAGTAAAGAGGCTATGAGACTGAGTCATATTCCCTTACTTCTTAGTTCTAGGACGGAAGTGCCTATGTATCAGAGCTGCAAGGAGAATCAACTTTTGGCAGGGTTGTCTGCAAACTTTGCTAGTAAAGAACATGCTTAGTTGCATGTCTTTATTAGGCTTTGGAGAAGACTATAGTAACAGATTTGAATGTGAGAATCATTTAGAATTTGAGATAAACTAAAAAGAGCAGTCCAAGTTACCTCCATCTTTTTTTTTTTTTTTTTTTTTTTGAGAACATGCAAGGCAGATCTACATATTGATCTGAATGAACTTTAACAGGTCAAAGGCATGTGTTTTGCCTTGTTTATGAATAGTTTAAAAACAAAACAAAAATAGAATGTCTGATAGGCTATGAACATTCACACTTACTTGATTTGTGAACTCTAAGTTAGGAAAATTTTAACTTTTTTTACAGGCTTCCTGGCATTTCACCAGGAATTGCTGAGTGGCAACCAAATTGTTTTGCTTTTGAAAAAGCACAAGACTCTTCCAACTTTTCATCTTGTACCTGGTGGAAAACCCAACAGCATGAGATGAAAGCCAGATTTAAATGTGGCTTTGGTGAGCAGAGAAGAGGATTATGGATTTCATAAGTATAGGCCCTGTTTTTTGCTCGTTGATAGATCATTAAGGAGGGCAAACTTAAAAGTGATTTATGGCCAATGCATATATTTCCCTAAATTGGTTAGTGAAACTGAGTTTAAGTTTAGATGTTTGGGAAGAACAGATTTTTCTCCAAGATTCTTTACTCTACCTCAAATGTATACATGTATATATGTTTACTATTCTCCAATTCAGGGATTGGAAATGACACATTTTATTTTATTTTAATATTTTTTGACATGTATTAGAGGGGTCATACCCTGTGTTCTTTAATGTGGCATATAAAGAGCTTAGGGTAATTCTAACCCTAAACTGTGGATCCAGAGTATGGCTTGAAGGCATATTATCTTTGAAAACACAAGTGTTCTATTGAGTTCAATGGAATCTTTTCTAATTCTCAGTAACATAATCCCTTTGGATGTTTATTCACAATTCAAACTGTTGGAATCAACATTGTCAACTTTTACCCTGACAACTTGCTTACTTTCTACTAAACAAACTTACCCTAGAGAAGAGCCTCTTTCCTGCTCTTACTTCTCCCAAGCTGCTTCAAAGAGTCCTCAGGCGTTTTCCACATTTTTCACCCAAATGCCTGTGCAGAGTGGTACCTTGCAGCAGACAGAGCATTTGGTATGCCCTGGTTTGTTTACATGAAAGTTCAAAAGGTTTTGGTTCCAGGTGTTGGGAAGACATGGAGTCATTTCAGTGTAGCACCAATGGTAAAACTATTTTAATGTCCTTTAACTAAGTCTTTGATTTTACACAGTGTGGTTTTCTAATTGTTATGAAGTTTAATCCTTGATTTCTTGTATAAATCTTGAGAACATGGTCTCCAGACAGCTAAACATAATATTTAAACATAACTAAACTAAGTTTTGTAAATATTTCCCTTTTCGGTGATGAATGTATATTGGTAAGGAGGGTGAGGTTGAAGGGGCAGGGACCTCAAACGAAGTGACTTTCTTTACCAACACATTTAGAACACCTACTCTAGGATTTCTACTTGGTGATGATCTACTTATTTTGTGTAAGTCTGGCATAATGTGTGAAATATTTGCAATGAAAGTATTTATATGGGAATATGATGAGGAAACTGGGTCACTAAAATCTAAGAAAACATGAGTTTTTCAAACCCTTCTTCCCCCCTAACCTAGGTATTTACGGAATTTCATATATATGAGGAGAAGTGTGTGATTGTTTCCTGGTCAGCTTGAGGCATATTCTTTATTTTTAAGATGGGCCAACCAAGATTCCAATATAGTAAAAAAATTAATAATGTGTTTGCAATGTCAGATGGTTAAAAGCATGTCCTCCACCTCACAAGCAACTCCTCACTGTTAGGTGTCCCACCCTCAGCTGACATGACTCTCAGCTGCTGAGGTCAGAAGCATGTGTTCAATTCTACATTTTAACTAATAATTCCTTTTAAACAGATAAGGGCAAGTGATATTCCAGCCTTAAAAGTCTTCTAACCACTTACAAAAAGGAGACAATTCTATAGTCCTTGGTGATAACCTAGTTAATAGAAAGTAATAAAAAAATCCCAAACTTTATCTTATTGAAATATTTCTTTTTACATCATATTTTTTAGAAAAGTAGATTGTTTTTATGTGTTTCTACATGGTTTTAGATTTGTTTTAATGTTCTCATGTGAATGATTTACCTGGTTTTAAAAATAATATTAGATTCACCTAACTTAGGGAGTTTTTGAAATAAACTCTAAGGTTACCGGAAGGTGATGGAACTACTGGAATTATTTTAAATGGCTATGAGCCATGTGCTGCACTTTTCACGCTGACTTGATGGCATGGATATGTATGCTTGTCCTGAAGATCCCTGAGTATGAGAGTGTTGTCCCTGTGCATGTCATTAAAAGAGTGACTAATGAAAGGGAGAACTGGTGAGAGCCTTTAAGAAAGAACAGGGATCAGATGTCACACACCTCTTCATGTTATCATGATTCTTAATACAGGAATGCTCTATAAATTTTCTGAAAATGTTACATACATAATGAGTGAATTCACTTGAAGACTACTTTTTAAGGGATAGTGTTGATGTTTTTTTTTTTTATAACTTTTACAGATTCAGATTCAGTTATTTGTCTCCCCTCCTCCTCCCTCTTTTTCCCTTTTTGAAGGTATACATTGAATTTTTCTGAGTGATCCCTGTACCATAATCAAAGGGAAAAGATAAAAGTTAAGTCAGCCTTAAGGGGAATTAAATTTTCTAGGATTTTTGCTTAGAAATTCTAGAAATTTAGAAATTATATTCCTGGAGGAATAGTATTCTGGATAATATGTAGAGCATCTTAGTGAATTACCATGAAATGAGTTTTTTTAAAAATATTTTTTTCTCTGTGAAGTTATCTAGTTAGCCTCTGTAGCCAGGCAACTTGAAGCCAGTCATTATAAATGAGTGGCATTATTCAAGACACATTTTATTTTGTCATGTTATTGGTTGCCACTTTTGGTTTTATACCTTTCTTCAGTCACTAAACCCTCAACTAAAGTGATAGTCCTAAAGTTGGCTTTCTGTGTAACTGTAGCATATGAATTGAATAAGAGATTGCACTTCCCTGTTGTGGCCCATTCTGTTAACTTCAGTGAAGCAAAGGAGCTCTCAGTTGTGTAAAAACTGTTCTTTCAGTTTGCACAAAATAAATGCTCAGGTAACTAACTATTTCTAGCCATGCCTAAAGCTGCAGTAGCCAACCCAGGACAAAATCTATTTTTGACTAAAATTCCTTCTTGGTAGCATCTTTTGTGATTATCCCAAACTAAAGAGCTCTTTTCTTCATTTTCACTGCATTTACCAATTGTTTATGCCATTACGGGCAATTGGTGGAAGTGTAAAATAATTTGTCAATGCATTTTAATTATGTTTCAGAATTAATTTTGTTAATGGTTTGAAAAACATCACCTCCCTTCTTTGATTGACTCTTATTAAAATGAGTTCAGTTATTGTTGTTCTTGAGATCTTGGGAGATCCATCTGCCTCTATATTTTACTAATTTCCCTACTTAAGTGAATCTACTGTAAACTTATCTGCCCAAATTATATCATTAAGTATTCTATATTTTTTTCTACTCTATCCCATATGCTTGGATCAGTTTCATGTCTCCCATTTGCCAAGTTTTCTTTTAGGGTCATTGAAAGCCATTTTAAAATCCCTTCATATAGTAACATCACATCTTAAATTCACGTGAGAGGACAAGGAAAGAAAGTATATTTGCCTATTAACATGAAGCCAGGTGGGTGTGATTGGATGTGTAGCAAAACCAAAACCTGAGGATAGCAGAGTTTTTAATATCAGTTTTTTTCCCCCATGGCATTTACTGCCAACTTTATCAAATAAAATAAAATAATGTTTAAAAATGACCTTGAAAAGTGATTAGTCTGTAGCACTGTGGGCATTTATTTGCATGTTTATCAACATTTTATAGAGGGATGTGAAGTAAAGTACCAAAGAAAATCTTCTACAGGGCTAGGATAGGTATATGATATATATCATACATGTATATATACCATATACACTGGGAACTATTGATGTAAGTTCTGAAGTTCAATGGTTGGAGAATCGGAGCTCTGATGTCCAAGGGCAGGAGAAGAGGAATATCCCAGCTCCAGGAGAGAAAAAGAACAGAAATTGCCTTTCTCTGCTTTCTTCATTCTCTCGAGGCCCCCAGCTAATTAAATGGTGCCTGCCCACATTGAGGGCAGACCTTCCCCACTTAGTCTAGTCAGACTTACACACCAGTCTCCTCTGGAAACACCCTCAAAAACATACCTTTACGAGTTCTCTAGTTACTTTTTAATCCAGTCAAATTGACACATAAAACTAACCATCACACCCTCTATAATGTG